CCAGTTACGACCAAGTACGTCATCATTCCATGTCCTCCTACAATGACGTATTTATCTCCCTTAGCGACAGAACTACAGAGTACTACCATGTTACAACCGATGGTTAAATGGAGTTTTATGACATTATACATGGAGAAGAATTACATTCCCAGGCTCAACATACTAAACTTTGGGAGAATGGATGCACAGAGAGGGCACAAAAAGTATCTAAAGCACTTTAAGAGCATGTACTTGTACATGTACTGAAGACCGCAAAAATGTGGACAAAACAGAGCAATAATCCTGGACTCAATCCATGTTGTCAAGAGTTGACATAATGACAAACATAAAAAGGTTCATAATAAGATTTAAAATGTCATATAGTGATTCTTCATTTTTATCACTGATTATATGAAAAAAAAGTTTATCAAACCATCAAAAAGAAAACATTATATATGGTTCGTTAATATACAACCAGTATTATTTTTGATTAGTTTTGTTTTGTATATAAAATAATAATGTGATTTTTTTTAAAAATCTCTAAAAAGGTTGGATCCTGTTATCGAAAGTATTGAGAATTTTTGTCAAGTTTATTTTTAGAATCTACGCACATAGCTTAATAAAAAATCAAAACAAAGAATGGGGGTCTTTGCGCTTCTTTTAGCACTAAAGAGCAATTAATATAACCTTTTTGCACTGTAATTACGCTTAGCACATAAATCAAATTTTCAAAGTTCATCCTTTAATATTTATTTTTGTCAAAATTAATTATTGGAATAAACACAGTTTTTTTTCATCTTGAATAGTCACATTAAAATTTGTGACAACAAAAATTACATCGCATAGTCAATTATTCGACCTTCCGACACTCATTTATTTTTATTTTTCTGGCGTTGAAAATTTAAAAAGCAAAAATACTTTGAAAGAAATGACATTTTCCTGAATTTAAGCAGAATGGTAAAAATTATTTTATATATTCAGAAAATGAAATAGAAAGTGGCAGTCTGTGATGTTAAACTTTAGATAGTGTTAAAATAGTGTAATTTAATTTGAAGATTAAATTGGGCTTTTTTCCCAGGACTTTCACGATATATTTGATATATTTGCCAAATATAGAATGAAAATTCATGACAGTTAATTTAATATACAATTTAAGACCACTATAGAACATTTCACTGTTTAAATAGGAATTCAAACTTAAAAACACTGAATACTTCGAAAGATTGATTGATTTATTGTATATTGTTTAACGTCCCTCTCGAGAATTTTTCACTCATATGGAGACGCCACCACTTGCCGGTGGAGAGCTGCAAATTTTGTCCTATACTCGGCACTCAGGGCCATTGAGCAGGGATGGAACTTTTCGTGCCAACACCTACTGCGACACGGGGCCTCGGTTTATACGGTCTCATCCGAAGGACCGGTCTCTAATTCCTACGTTGGGATTCGAACCCGCGACGTAAGGATTTAGTCTCTAACCACTGCGCCACGCGAGCGACTACTTCGAAAGAGAAAAATTGATCTTTTTCTTCTTCTACTTACCTCGTCACTGGTCATTCACAAAATTATTTTGTGAAAACACATTCTGATTGCACACTCAAGTACTCTGAAGTTGACATAAAAAGATGCTTGAGTTTCTGATTGACAATATCTATTTGGTTTTTGGAGACCAGGTCCTCCAACAATCTATTGGAATTCCCATGCGTACCAATTGCGCTCCGTTATGAGAAGACTTATTTTTGTATTCATATGAAGCAGAATTTATGCAAAATCTTATGCGTGAAAAGAAGAAAAAACTTGCTGTGGCCTTCAACTCGACATTTAGATATATCGACGACGTATTGTCAATTAACAATGGTAATTTCCATTCCTTTGTCGATACGATATATCCTGGTGAGCTTGAGATAAAAGATACCACAGAGTCTGACACATCTGTTTCATACTTGGATATTTTACTTGAAAAAGACACTAATGGTAATCTAACAACCAGCTCTATGATAAACGTGATGACTTTAACTTTTCTATCGTCAACTTCCCTTACCTATTCTGCAATATACCTTCATCACCTGCATACGGAGTTTACATATCTCAACTGATTCGATACACAAGAGCATGCTCTACGTATGAACAATTTCTGAAACGAGGTAAATTATTGACAAACAAGTTGATGAAACAAGACTATCAGCAGTCTCGTTTAAAGTCATCATTTCGTAAGTTCTATGATCGATACAATGACCTTGTCAGCAAATACAATTTATCATTGACTCAAATAGTGGCTGGCGTTTTTCATACTAATTCTTAGTCCATTATTTATACACTGACGGAATTGACGACGAATTTTTCCGTTATTTCCCGATCATGACAAGGAGCAAACGGCGGGTGTGACCGGTCGGCCGGAGATGCTCGCTCTTCCATGGCACCTGATCCCACCTCTGATGTTTTGGAGGTCCGTGTTTGCTCTGCTCCTATTTTGTATTGTTTTATGGACTTTGATATTGAATACTGTTCGTTTTCTCAATATCTTTCATTCTAAAACAAAACTTCTGCCACAAAATATAGTTCCTCACTAAATGTTTTTGGTGTGACATTTCATCATGGGATTTTTATTGAATAAACTTTAATTAGCATTATACGAGAATCCAACATTATTCTAAGAACTAAAACATTATGTCAATTTTTAAAATAAAGGTCAAGACAAAAATTTGCTAAAAAGCCGAGGAGCGAACCTCTTTAAAGACGGTCGTTTAAAACAGTTTTCACAGAATCCAATTATGCTTAACAAAGCGGGGGTCAATCACTTTTATCCCTTTTGGTTTGAAGTGGTAGATATGTAAAATGTTTTACCTCTGCGTTACGATATGGGGATGACTTGCAATGTTTGACACCAGGAAGAGATCGCACCTCTCGCCTTATCTGTCAATTTTCAGCGTGAATCGAACAGTTCAAATCATCATAAACTGGCTGGGCTTTGATTTTATTTTAACATGATATAATCATTTGTACCTGAGGAAATGTGTCACTCTGTGGGACCCTATTTAGTCAGGATTAAAACTTGACTTCAGTATGGTGTTTTGCAATACACGCCGTAATGTTAAAGATAAGCAAATTTGGAGACAAGATCAAGAAGGTATCAGTTTCTTTTTTAAATGTCCGACTTCCAATCGTATCAGTACTAATCAGGATATACTTAGATTAAAGGGAAACACTTCATAAACATCAAAACTGTGAAAAAAATCAAAACAGTAAAGACCAACACGCTGCCAGCTTTGATCAACGTGTTTTGCACGTCCTTGGCCATACAGTTGTCTGTTATAATTACGGTGTAGACAAGAACATCCCAGGGAAACTAATTACTTTCTGGGTATCACGTTTTATTTAGCCAAGCAAATTAAATTAAAAAAAATGATTACAATCATAAAAAAGTACAAAAAATATTTGTGAACAATGAATACAACACGGACCTCCTGGAAGTCTAGAGGTGAAAAAGGAGTAACCATACCCCTTTGACCAGTCACACACGCCATGAGTCCTATGTATTGGATCGGGGACACGGCTTTAATTCCCAGTAAAATTAAAAGTCCAAACATCTATGTTAAAATACGTCTCAATGATAGCTTATAACCGTCGATGATGACAATTATGTTATTCAACTCGGAAGTTATGACACCGATTATATATCAAATAATGAAAAACAATTTCACTTAAATATTTTTATGTAGTGACAACAACGAAGTCAGACTTAAAGTTTTGATACATCATCATTGGAGGCAATTTACAATGCACCAGCTAAATTGAATACATCTCTTGCCTATAGCCATGACCCTGTAATCCCTCGTCATCACCTAATGTCAGTCACAGTTTCCTATACCTACTGTACAGTCCTCCGTTATTTATTTGTTTTCAGAATGATGTTTACCACAGTTCGTGTGGTCCCACCAAAAATGTTCTTATGATGGGATTACATATGATCACGCATCACTTCATCTCGGTGACACAACAATATCTAACAAATTAATCATGTACATGTATACTCACTGCGCTGATCTCAATTTTGCAACATTCTATAGAAGAAAAAATATAAAAGAACTGAAGGGTAAGCAGTTATTTCCGTAACAGAAAATGATCATGCAAATATACCTCACCAAAAAAATAATAATTTGCTTTGTACGTTCTATATACTTTCTGTGTTGACATCCAGTTTTAATGAGAATAAAAAAAGAGCCAAGTTTGCATGACGTTACAAGTCTTCTGAAAAGAAATTATTAGTTAAAAAGAAATCAGTATTTTGCTCTAATAGTAACAGACATTCTAAATTAAACCTGGCAACCAAAAAAATATACATTATAATATTTATCAAAAAGCTTCAGGTATTAAAGAACTTAAGAATAATTTGAAAGCACAAAACTTACGACTTTTCAACTTAATACACAACCATTAAATTGAATTCCAGGCTTTTTGATATCATTGAAAGCTGTTTTTTCAATAAATATGGAACTCGTAAATTTACTTACATGGTCATTGGTCATTTGCAAAATTGCAAAATTTGCAAAATTCTGATAGCACACACAAGAACTCTGAAGTTGACATCAAAAAGATGCTTGAGTTTCTGATTGGCAATTCTTATGTCGACAGGGTATATTTCGGTGAGCTTGAATTAAAAGATACTACATAACTTCGTTACCTGCATACGGAGTTTATATCTCTCAGTTGATTCAATACGGAAGAGCATGTCCTAAAGTTGTTTACAAACAAGTTGATGAAGCTAGAATACTAGTATCAGCAGTGTGGTTTAAAGACTATGCACTTGATTTAACGGTTGTTTCCAATAAAACAATATGTAAAGTTATTTCATTATTGGTATTTTCAAAAATTGAGAATTGGAAGACCTATGGAGAAAAGAACCTTTTAAAAAAACATAAAAATTGTGAAAATGCTGAATTGTCAATTAAAAATTAAGATAAAGATCGTACACTGAATGATGGAAAAGTATGCATTGTGAAAATGTGTTTTGCTCTAGGAACAAGAACTCTACAATTAATTAAATACTATAATTGATTTTAGACTGGTAAAATAAGAAATTTCAGAGTAAAATAAGCCATAAATTTGACCTCTACGACATACCAGATATACAACACGTGTGCATATGGCGCCTGAGACACGTGTTTATATATGTCTACTTGTCTACTTGTCTCTCTTGAATGTGACACCTTTCCCTTCATTTTACCTTTATATCCATAAGAGTGGGGTCAGAACTAAATAAACAGACCATAACCCTCGCCATCCCTTACCGTAATATTAATTGACAGGACAGAGACCTAGTGACCGTTCTACATCACTGAAAAGAAACGAAAAAAAGATTCAGTACTGTCAAATGGTACAGTGACGTCAACAAAAGAGATTATCACTATCTCATTTCATCATTGCCTGGCGGATACACTGTCATTAATTTGTTAATGGTGTGTAGTTAATTATGAAAATTTTATTTATTGCAAAATGACCTCATTTCTACATCACTTATTTATGAACCCTTGAGCCAATAAGTAGCTACGGAAAAAATTAAATGTCTATCAAAAGGGAGAAAGACAAATAATTAACCCATTTCACAGATATACTAATTTCATAGAATTTCTTTTTAAAATTGCGTGTTATATTACTTTATTGCATTAAGACATCAAGGTGTTTAAATGTGTTTTAAGTCATTTTGTGATGAAAGCGGCTCCAGTGCTGGATGTTAAATGTATTATGAACGCTTTTTTTTACATCCTGTCATATTTAATAATGCAATTATTACTTTAATATCCTCAAAAATTGCTAAATGTGCTTGATAAACCTTTGCAGTTTAAAAGTTTTGTCTGTTTAGAATGATTGTAGCCATTTAAGTTTTAAAAAGTGGCATTATTAACTTCATTTGAATTTTTCAGCTATGGATGGATTATACTGCTTGAAAAAATATTTCATTCTGACAAAGACATTTTTGTTCAATACACTTAAGTTAAAATGCGCGTTTTGACCCATTTATTCAAAGTTTATAGCACAACGAGAGTGTGGCACCAGAAGTGAGATTCAGGGGCATACGAGGAGTAAGCATCCACCGTTACAATCGCCATAAGTCTTCTACATCGATCAGTTTAACAGAGTAAACCTTAGTCAAAATTGGCATAAAGCATTGCCTAACAGTCAGTCGGAAACAAGTTTGTCAAAAATAACCAAACAAAGAAGTTTAACTTGGGAATCATAGAAGTAAAAATAATTAAAGATTATTTTAAACTTTTAATGAAATTCTTGTAACATAAACGTATATTTAAGTAGGCTGTCTATTATGTCAGTAAAAAAATGGTGGACTCAAACCTGGTTTTACGTGCTGAATGAGTCGGGAGACGAAGCACCCTATGCAGGTGAAAGTTCAGTGTTACTACATAGATAACAAAATTAATGATGGAAATCCTAAAGTCACCCCGTTTGCCATTATGCAGGTTTAGTCATAACGCTTTCATTCAGTGAAGCATTCAAATATAAAGTTGATAAAGCAGACTTTGTTATGTTTTTTTTTTATTTCGAGAAAATTGTGAATAAATTACATTACGATTGTTAACAAAATAGTATCAAAATGTCCACATTTTGAAGGCAACGGTTCGAGTTTTCCTCTTTTCTTTTTATTTTTGAATGAAATATATGGAGATAACGAATAGTATTCAAGATCAAAGGTCCATAAAACAATACAAAATAAGAGCAGAGCAAAAACGGACCTCCAAATCATCAGTGTTGTGATCAGGTGCCATGGAGGAGTGCTTCAGTAGACTCAAAGAATACTTTGCAGACTAAGTCAATGAAGCATTGCTGCAATGCTTTGTTAATTTGACTCAAACAAATTATTATTCCTGCCGTGGACTCTAAGAATTAACTCTTAGACTCTATCTTTCTCGGCAAACTGTTAACTTCTGTGTTAGTATCTTACATATATTTATATTTGAATTGACGACGTACTCATAGTATTCTTGCTGTATATTCTGTTTCACTTCACTTCATATTCATGCAAGCTTTATAACTGCGTTGTCATTTTCCTTAATACTTTATCTGTTTATCGCTTAAAATAAAAATACAATCAAGTGACTTGTAGAAATACTCAGAAGGGGGTCTGGAGAAAAACATCTCCTTTAGAAAAGTCTATATCTTACACTTAATCCGGGGAAAAATCCTTTTATATCACTTAAATACTTTCTAGAAAAACATCTATCTAATACCCTCTTCAGTTTTTCTTTGTTGTAAATCTACGACTCAACAAAATTAAATCTGTTTATAAAGTCTCAATTTTTATTCGATGGTTTGTTTGGGTGAATAAGTGCCTTAACGTAGTGTTACGTAACATTTTTTTTTCTTATCATAGTCAATTTTACAGGGAAAAGAAACGGCGTCTTCACTTTTTTGTTTGAAAAAAAAACAAGCTAGAATTTCTGTACTTTCTGCTGCATATTTTGGATGAAAGCTGAAAATTTAAATACTTTCTATTAACAATGTATTTGCTTTGAATAAAAAGCTGAAGATAAAGACATGTTATAAATCTTGAAAAATCTTAATGAAATATATGGAGATAACGAACAGTACTCAGGCTGCAAAGTCCGTAAAACAATACCAAATAGGAGCAGAGCAATAACGGACCTCCAAAACATCAGGAGGGGTGAGCATCCCCTGCCGATCGGTCACACCCGCCGTGTGCTCCTTGTCATGATTGGGAAATAATGGAAAATCCGTCGTCAATTCAGTGTGTAAATAATGGCCTTACAATTAGTATGAAAAACCTCAGTCAGCATTTTACTCATTGCTAAATTATATTTGGTGGCATGGTCATTGTATCGACCATAGTATTTACAAATAATGAATTCAAACCACACTGCTTATAATCTTGTTTCATCAACTTGTTTATCAATAATTTACCTCGTTTAGAAATTACACATTTGTAGAGCATTCTCTTGTGCATCAAACAATGCGAAACTTCAACAGGGCAAACTCATAGACCTTGTAAACACCAGAGGGTGGATCAGGTGCGTTGCAGTAGTAAACATTCCTTGTCGACCAGGTCACATCCGTCGTGAGCTCTTTGTATGTATCGACCAGTAAACGGAGTAATGGGATATTAAACAATTAGTATGAGCTGTGTATGACAAACTTCGAAAAAGGGATACTTGTTGTGTTCGGTAATTATGATTTAATGAGGACCTAAGATTTGTAAAATATTGACTTTAAACAAGTCAATATGGGTATGTTCAATGAAAAATGCAAGTATCTCTTTTACCAGTCACACGAAGAGTAATTAGATAATTTTAACAGAGTGTTTTGAAGATGACGATTCATGAGATATTTTCGAGTTTCACTCTGACTGAAAATGCAGTTTACTATCAAGTTCAAAAGTACAGTCTATGATACATTAAGAAAGGTTTTATAAAGTGTTCAAAGAATCATCTATTTTCATGCTACTGATATTGGAAAAAAAATTCTTGATAGAATTCACAATAAATAACATCCACTTCCTGAATATGCAATGACAATATTTGTATTGGACGTAAAAAGATGGGCTCAGAAGAGCATGTATGTTTGATAAAGATTTATATGAAATTTTGGAATCCAGTATATAAGCATCGTAAATCAAATTCATTTTTGTCTGGATTGTTAACAGTGCAGGAATTTTATCAATAAAATACACATGGAAATGCAGCATATTGAAGGTTACGGGTACTCCTGCCACTAATTCTGACACCATGAGTCACAAAGCGACTTTAACACAGAACATTTGTAGGTAATGATCTCTCTCCCTGCCCTTCTACTTTGATTTCTTCACTGATTACATTTCTTAAATGCATGTTTCATTGTCGGTTATTTAAAAAAACACAAGCATGTTCTTTTCTTAGTTTCAGAAGGTCTACGTATCTTTTTTTTTTTTGCAAAGATTGAAATTGAAATGATAAGATCTTTCCAAGCAACTTGTAATTTTTCAAATCTTGGAGGTATATGATTAAAAGCGTAGTGCAGCACAATTAGACAGTTTTAATCATCCGATAACTATATTCTTAAACAAAGGTGGTATTTTAAATTAGTAGGTAGAGGCATACATTTCCTTCCGTGGGGGGCTATGGAACCTTTGTCACCATAACTCAATCTGTTATCGCTTGTCTTTAACTGTCTTTGTTATTGGTGTCTGATGCACAAATCGATGTCACTAAAATGCTTTTAAAACTTGGAGATCCCAACAAGATTACCAAGACCTTAGATCATTGTATCAGATAACAGCAAAATGCTTTTAAAATATGTCAGTCTGGGTCGGGAAAGATTTCGACAATTCCTACTTTTAGTGTTTTAAATGTTGATATATTAGTCTACCTTACTTAAATGCTTGGTTGCTTTATACAAAAAAGGTCTTTTGAAGAATTTACATAATTACAGCAATTATCTTTCCAAATGTTTAGTATGATTTATAACCTAAAAAGTTTCAAATTTACTTCAAAGTCTGTTGCAGTTTCCATTGTCAACTAATTACAAGAGATGTCTTGTCCCGCTTAATCCTGTACTTCTATGGGGTGTTTTTCAAGTTATATATCAAAATTGCTAAATTTAGTATTTATTTCCTCTTTCCTTAAAATGTTAAAGGTGAAGATAACGAACAGAGATCGATCTCAAAAAATCTATAAACAATACAAACACTGAAGAAGGCGTAAAACAGGGACGGGTCCTGGAAATTCCAGAGGTGGGATCAGGTGCCTAAGAGGAGTAAACATCCCAGATCAATTCTTAATTAAGATTTGCTTTTAACATTTGTAACAACTGTTACCATACAGTATCCATTCGATATATTGTACACGTTTATCTCCATGCTTCATCTTAATGCAATTCAAAATATTTTGAATGATTTCTTTATAATAGTTATTGCTGTCTCAATATTGATTGAGAGGCACATTCATTATGTTTCTCAACTCATATTTATTAAGAATTATGATGTGTTCTTTTTATTTCTATTTTTGATTAAAGTATAATTTCAG